ATCATGTTTACAATGAAGTAAACAAACCTCCCCCTCCCCACACCTCATTCCCTTGGCTTCAGTAAACTTCCTTGGCTAGCTGTCTTAGAGAAATAAAAGCATTCAAGGACTATATGATATACCCCTGGCTTAACACTTTACTGACACCAAGAAGCAACAATAGCAGATCCACGAACATGTTTCCTGGCTATTTGGTCTTATATTGGTCATACATTTTGTCAAAAACAAAATTCAGTTGTGTCTGCATAGTCAGGATTGCTGTTCTGGGGACGGTGATGTTCAAAATGAAAAACAGCAGTTATATAGAAAGGCATACCACTATGCTGGAGGCAAGCTCAGACTTTACAATATTGCCCTCACATTCCAGCTGACAAGAATGCTGCAACATGAAGGCTGTATGTGTGGAAATTAAACCTGACAGGAGAAAAATGTACTAGAAATCGAAGAAAAATACAAACATTTAATAAGTATCATTTTCCATTGAGTTATTTACAGAGTATTACAACACTATAAAAACTGCAAAACTGATTCTATTTATAAAAGCAACTGATCTGAAAAACTCAACTGGTCATGAAAGTTAAAACTAGACTTGAACAAATGCGATTTTGCCTCCTGTTTTTATTGATCAAATTTCCAGCAGTTTTGAAACACATCAGGTATTACCAGCTATATAAGCAACATCACCACACAAACGTCAGATGCCTCTCTGCTTAGTTTGGTACCACAATATTTTTTCTCATTATGTCTCCCCACGCAAGCCCTGGCTCCTCAGTATACCCAAAGTAATGAAATGAGCATTGTTAATGCCACAGCAAACACATTTAAGACACTCTCTTTCTATTGAGCAGGAACAGTATGGACAGCAGTAATGGAAACTTACGCTTTCTCACCCCCTTTTTTGAGACCATCTCTAGAGGTGAAAAGGTAATTTGGTCTCCCAGCACACAGAGCACTCTCGTCTCTTGACTGAAATGGAAGTGGTTACTAGTTTTATGCCAAGTGATCGGCAGGATTTTGTGACAGGCAGACATTTATTTGTCCGATAGAAACTAGACTGAGATTATCATCTTATTTCTGCACAGGAACGAAAACAAGATATTTTGAAATATATAGCAAATCTCACGAGAGAGAGACCCTTTGCCCCCCACAATTGTCCAGTAGTTAGGGCCCTGAATAAGGCAGAGCTGGGTCTACCACATCCCAGACAGGTACCCTAAGCACTAGGTAAGAATCCGTGTCTCTCTTTTTTCCCCTTCCCCATCACTTCCTCTGCTGGAACTGTTCCACTTTGTGTAAATAATGTATTGGGTCAAAGAAAGTGTAACAGATTCACTGTATAGTTCAGTGGGTAGTGTCATCACTTGAAACAAACAGATTAAAATCTCTGTTCTGAATCAAGCCTGAACTAGATCTCCCATGTCCCGGGTAAGTGCCATAAACATCAAGCTGTTGGCTATTTTAAGTTGTGTGTCTGACCAGAAATTTCATCCTGGAACTGAGAAACCTTTAACTGATACGGATACATTGCCACAAAAAATTCAATTTCAGCAAATCAACATTTTCTGATAAAAAAAAGTCTCATTGAAAATTTCAGGCCAGATGCACAGTCATCATGTCACTGAGCCGTCAAAAGTGGTACAGCAGGGTATGTCTGTACTACAGTCGAAAACCGGTAGTTGGCATGGGCCAGCTGACTTGGGTCTGGGTATGGGGCTGTTTAATCACGGTGTTGATGTTTGGGTTTGGGCTGGAGCCCAGACTCTAGGGCAGCAATGGGCAACCTAAGCTAGTGGGCTGATCACATCAGTGACCCTCCATCTTGGTGGTCCACAAGATTATGGTAACCAAGACAATCCCTCAGGATAGGGTAATTTTTCTAACTGAACTAGAATTTGCGGGATGTGCTGATTGAACCAGAGCAGCGCTTTGATTGGATACAGAGAGTGCACACAATGTTGTGTGCCAGCGTTTCCCAAACTATGGGACATGGCCCGGTACTGGTCCACAGGAAAAAAATACTGGGCCTCAGCATGGCTGTCGGGGTGCTTTGGGCTCCTGGAGTGTCCGTGTGGCGCCGGGTCCCCCAAGGCCTGGGCCGGGCTGGGTGGAGGATGCAGCTGGATGTTCCGGGCTCCTGGCAGAGGCAGGGGTGAGGGGGAGGGAGCTGCCCTGGGTGCCGTGCCAGGGGGGCGCCAGGCTGGGCTGCAGGGGGAGAGGGGAGGTGCGAGGCGTTGGGCTCAGCTGGGCCTGGGCTCATCTGGGCTGCAGGAGAAGGGAGGTGCCGGGAACCCAGTGCTGGACTCAAGGGGAGGGAGGGGCAAGGAATCAGCGCTGGGCTCAGCATGTCTGCGCAGTTTGGGGGGAGGTGCAGAGAAACGGAGCTCAGCTCGGCTGCGAGAGTGAAGAGATGCGGGGTGCTGGGCTGAGCTGCGGGAGTGGGGAGGTGCGGGGGGCTGGGCTGGGCTCGGCTCCGGGGAGAGGGGCAGAGTTCAGAGCTCAGTTTGGCTGCAGGAGGAGGGAGGTGCCAGGAACCGCGGCTAGACTCAAGGGAAGGGAGGGGCAGGAAATCAGAGCTGGGCTCAGCAGTTTTGTGGGGCTTGGGGGGAGGTGCAGGGAAACGGGGCTCAGCTGTGCTGTGGGGGAGGCCTGCAGGGAACCAGTGCGGGGCTCAACTGGGCTGAGGTGAATGGGGGAAGTCATAGGGAACAGAAGGGCAGCTCAGCTGGGCCGTGAGGGGCTGCAGGGAACTGGTGCTGCACTCCCTTGGATTGTGGGGGATGGTTTTAGAGGAGGTGCACGGAACCTGTGGGGGTGGGCAGCTCAGCTGGGTTGCAGGGGAGGGAGGTGCAAAGAAGCCTAGTGAGGACGGACGGACAACTAGGAGCCCTGAAATGACTTCCCCTGGTCCAAAAAAATCCCTCATCTGGGACCAGTCAGGTCCAGAGGGTGCCAGACCAGGGAGGTCCAACTCCTTACTCAAGTCCCCTCCTGGTACCCTCCCTCCTAGCCAGATACCCTACCCCCAATCTGCTCCTGCTCCCGCCTCCCGGAGTGCCCGTGCAGCACTGGGTCCCCCAAGCCCTGGCCCAGGCTGGGCAGAGGATGCAACTGGGTGAAACTGAAAATGTATTCGTTTTTCATTTTTTTAAATATACATTTATATTTTTGGGCTGCAAAAAACAGTACTAAAAAAACAGGTTCCAAATAACGTAAAAAGTTTGGGAAACCCTGGTCTAGTCAGCTTTCTATGCATCTTATAGTCCATTTATCCAATCAATATTCCCTTAACTTGCTGGCAAGAATATTGTGGGAGACCGTATCAAAAGCTTTGCTACAGCTGGCACTGGGGGCTTTGGGAGGACCAGAAACAATTTATTTGCAAATTCATCATTTGCTTAATGAATATGGAAATATGCAAATGAATGTTACCGGTCCTCCAAAAGCTCGTGAATGGATTTACTGGTCCCTGTCTCAAAATGTTTGGTAACCCCTATTGTGGGCAATCAGCATGCACTTCACTTTATGTGCTTTTGGTTTATGTGCATGTCACTTTAGTGACATCAGTAGGAAAAAAACCTACATGGAAGGAAACCAAAGGAATCTGTCAACCCTGCATGTGAGCAACAGTAAACAAAATGTCTGGTGGGCCACACATAGAACCTCGATGGGCTGCATGTGACCCCTACACACACTGTTCTAGGACCCTGAGGGACAGGAGGATCCCAGAGCTTGGGCTCCAGTCCAAGCCCAAACATCTATACCACAACAAGACAGCTCTTTTGATCAAACTCCTCTGCATTTGTCATTTGAACTGAGAAGTGAAGTCGTCATTCTTTCAGGGAAACAAAACAAAACAAGCATTTTTTCTGAATAAAACCATTCCAAGTAAATTTATGTTTGTAATGCTTCCTTTGTGTTCAGGGTATCCTATGCTCCCTTGCACCTACACTGCAAGGGAGTGGCTCCAAATGGTTATGTCATTAGTTATCAGAAGACATGGGTTCTATTCTCAAGTCCTGCTGCTGGCCTTCCACAGGGCAAAAGGGAAGTTACTCCAGCTCTCTGTGCCTCCATTTTCCCATCTAGCTCTTTGAGATCTACAGATGGACTAAGTAATTATTATTATATGAAATCTTAGCTCCCCCCCAGGCTGTAGTTCTTTAAGATTTCATAAAAGTGGCATTTTGGTTTAATTATAATTGAATGAAAAGGAAAACAGACAAGGAAATACCCTCAAAGAGGATACTGAGACTTTTTCCACACAAAAGAGATTTTTCAATAATTGGTAACACCCGTGTTTGCAAGTTTGGAAACTCTACCGCAAACGGGCCACTGGCCTGTAAACAATATGATGCCAAAGTCTGCACTGAGCATGACTAATACTACCAGCACATAAAACAGTGACGGTATCTGTAGCCTCTCTCATCTAGAGCTCACACTGCTGCAACTGAACCAGTTTGAGCAATGATAGCACATTTTTTAAGACCCTAAAGGAGAGACAGCCACAGTGCCCAACAAGTATCTTGCTGGACATTCAAATGTGGGGGTGAAGTGTCCTATTAATAACTAAAGCACCACATATTTGAAAGTAGGCACCCTATACGTTTTCTTAACTAACCCTGTTGGTATTCAAAAACACATTAACAAAACCGTGAACTCACAAGAAAGGGAAAGTAGTTTCAGTGTTTAATTCCTATTTTTGTTTTTAGAACTTTTAGGTATAGTAACAAAAAAGCTTATTATTTTTAAAAAGGGATATTTTAGATTACAGGGAAATTGATGATACTTCTTACAGCTCCTTATATTACATACATGCATACACACGTCCACTCAGAGATACCAAGGGAGAAACACAGTAAGAGAAGAGGTGTCAGTTTTGTTTTCCATGGGTGATTCAGCTGGAATTATGTAAAATCAAGTCAGTTTCACATGAATTGGCTGATTCATATAAAAATTTGCACTTAAGGCTCCCCTGCGCCCCTCAAGAAATCCAAACTTACTTTCTTTCAGTTTCTGGTGTTGACAAAGTACTGCTGAGGCCAAGCGATTCCTGTAAGGGAAGATACATTGCCATAAGTGCAGATAAAACAACAAGCTTCACCCAAGTGATGCAAACAAAATCCAAAACATAAATAGATGATTAAAGTCATTGTGCTTACTTCAATCTGGGATCGCAGCTGTAGTGATGTGGGGCTGGCATCGGGTTTCTCCTAAAACAGAACAGATGTCAGGTTAATGCAACACCCAAAAGAGGCAGCATTCTCCAGAAAAACAAATATGGAACGAGATAAGGAAAGAAAAATGAGACATGAACAGAATATTGGAAAATCCCACTCCCTTTCAAATAAGAAACAGTGACATTTCCAATGGAATTGCTCTCCGAAGAAGCACTGAAATACTCAAATAGAAGCCAATTACTTGATTACAGACATATGTACCACTGTGTAAGGCTTATACTTAGATATGTGTTCAAATAATAACAAAGAAAACACATGAGTAGTCTTCAAGAGATAATCAACATTTGCCCCACATTCCTACAAGTCAACTGACAACTGCCTGAGCTTTCTTTTTTCTTTCAGTCACCTGTCTCTTGTGATAATGTATGGTTACTTGCATTATATCATACAGCAACTAGATGTCTTCATAAATGTCTTCATGTGCAGTACAGAGTTCCAGACAGGCTGTGATTTTTGGTAAACAAGGGAGACAAAGTTGGAACTTAAGCTGCATGGAAGTCTCTTTGTTTTGGCAGATTGCCATACTTTTCTTTCACAAATGCCTCCTGTTTTACATAGCCGGTACTAGGGATATAAGTGACTAGTTAAGCATAAGCTTATCAGATAGTCGACTAGTGATGCGACTAGTCACTTCCCCCCTTTTGCTGCCTCTATCAGAGAGAGGCAGCAAGGGGGAAGAGCAGGAGCTTGTGCTGAGGGGAACAGGCTTAAAAGCCAATTCCCCCGAGTACTTTGTCCACAGGGGGCAGGGAAGGTAGAGGCACAGCATGAAACAGCACAATCGGGGACTGAAGCAGTCTGCTGTGATTCTGCTTTTGAAATGTTCATTTCCCTATTGGGGCTCTTGAACATTTCAAAGGCTGAGGGACCACAGGGACCACAGGGCTAGTCCCCCTGCAGAGCTTCTGCTTTTGAAAGAGTGGGGCTCTTGTACATTTAAAAGGCTTAGAGGTCATAGGGAGCGCGGGCCCAGTGCTCTACTGGTCCCGTGCTCCCTGTATGGCTTCCACTTTTGAACTGTAGCAAGAGCGTGGCAGGGCTCTTGCGACAGTTCAAAGACAGAGGCACCCTTATAGACTAATCTAATAGTCAACAGAAATCCCATCAACTATTTGATTAATTAATAAATCTAAATTTGCCTGTACTGCAAATTGTTGAAGTACACATTCCACTTCTTCCCCCCCCACCCTGAACTGCAACACATAGGGTTAAATATGGGCTTCAAAGGAGTTATGTTCTTATCAGAACCTTAAAATAAAATTAATTCGCTGAAACCATTGAGGAAAGTTATTTGTGGATACGATACCGATTTTGTAGTTCAAGATTTTTTGTAACCAATCACAACAGCATATATTTGTGAGAAAATTTTTTTTTAAAGTATGTGTGATTATTTTTCAGCTAAGTGCCCCATCATACATTTAATTAAAACTCTCAGTTCATTTGGCTGGTAGATAACTATTATCATTGCATTGACATGTAGCCCCTCCTGTTCAATAGCCCAGTATGAGGTTATTCAACATAGGTGAAGCCTTGTGACTTTTTACACAACTTTGGGAGACTAGCCTGAGGCTCCTTTGTGTGCTCCATGTCGTGTGTCAGCACGTGTGCATCTCAGACCAGAAGTACTCAGGCAAGCCACCGGGAACAGACTTTATTCTGTAAGGAACGTAGAACAGGATTATAGTTCAGCAGCCACCTCTCTTCTTTCAGCCCATGTGCTCCCAGCTCAGTCCCTGCTGAGACCCTGCTGGGGGGCAGAGGGTACACTGTACAACACAACCCCCCTTACAAACATGTTCTAACTCCCACAATAACTAAGCCCCACAACAAAGCCCATATTCTCCCTGTGTGTCACTTCATCTCCTTTCAGGGAGCTCCATATGCCCTTTTTTTGGTCCTACCTGTAAAGAACAGGATTACAGTTCAGCAGCCTCTTCTCTGCCTGCAGCCTACGTGCTTCCAGCTCAGTCCATGCTGAGACCCTGTTGAGGGGCAGAGGGTACATCCTGGCATGAACCAGGACGTTCTCCCAACATGCCCCGATTTGCTGTTCACAACTTGTACAGGTTGGATCTCCCTTATCTAGCACCCGCAGGACCTGACCAGTCCCGGACGAGGGATTTTGCTGGACTGGGGAGGTCATATCTAGCTCCCCCTGCTACCACTCCCCCAACTATGGACCAGCCACCTGCCTCCAGGCCAGCTCCTTCCATGCCACCAGCCTCACTTCCCCGCCTCCATCCCCTTCCCTGCTATGCCGAGCAGCCCAGCTCCCTGCAGCCCCACTGGATTGTGTCTGGCAGACCAGATGCAGGAAACCCAGCTGCCAGCCCTCCACCAGGACTCTTTGATCCTGGAACTTCCATGGTCTTGCCAGACCATGGATGTTGCCGGACCAAGGGGTGCAAGTTAACTGAGCTTCAACCTGTAGCTCCAAAGGCTGCTCCTAAAGCACACTGGACCTTGGGCTACACACAGATGGGGAAATGAGGCACAAATTTAAGTGGTTTGCCCATTGCCATACACTGAGGAGGAGCTGGGACCAGACTCCAGGATTACTTGTTCCCAATCCACTGCACCAATCACTATGCCTATAAATTATGCTAACAATTTGAGAGTTCTTGGAAAAAGTGTTATTTAGAAATCTAATGTCTAAGCAAAGACATCTGAAACCATCATAATTTTGATGACACATCAAGAATATATGCAGAAGTCAGAATGATACTTTTTAAAAAAAGTACCTTTCAATTATTGCCTCCATCTATCTAGTACATGGAAATTCTTCTCCAAATGATACTGCACTTGGAAGCCAAAATAGAAACCTATCCCCCTGAAAACAGCGGATGCAGTTATGCTGATGTAGTTATGCAATAAGTTTGGAAACAAAAATGATTTGGGATCTGAGTGACAATTTTGAGATTACATATAAAGTGAATTTACCAAAAATATGACTTCAGGAGTGAAATTTCTTGTAATTTCTCAGCAAGTCAAGCTAAATTCTTCATCTGAGAACACCAACGTACAATCTGTAGCTTGACACGTCTATCCCCAACATGGGCAATAAAAGGCCCTCCACTGACTTCAGTGGATCAGGCCCATATTGACAAATTTTAGATTTTATAGCAATACTTTAAAATGTACCTCTTGATAACAGTAGGCTTAATCCTGCTCCCACTGAAATCAAGAGTAAAACTCCAGTTGGGATTGGGGAAAAGTTTGAAGTTATATGTCATTGGAGGTAAATCTAACTATTGGAGTCTCATTCATCTGAACACAAAACATTTACATTGCATGACTATCAACCCTGGATTAAGGATGTTAAGAGGCAGGTAATTCACTAATCGGATAGTCAATATAATTTTTATCAACTAATCGTGTCAATAAGGGAAGAAGCACTTAGTCCTGGCTCACACTGGGTACGGGACCTACTACCTCTGCAGCTCAAATGTACTAAAATCCATGCTGCCTGCCCCCCCAACTCTTAGTAATTAAAACTGCAGAGCTGCAGAGGGGTACATTCTGGATCTGATGTGAGTTGGGACTGAGCCAGGCTGCCGTCTTGCCAGAGCAACCCCTGTTCATGGCAGCCTGGCCTGCTTTGCAGCAGCAGGAGGCCGGAAATGCAAGCAGTCGACTCAACTAAAGATAAGCCTAGGCTTATTGGTTAGTTGACTACTCGCTTACATCCCTGTCCTAGACTCAATTCCAGTCCTGTTGAAGCTAGTGAAAGTTCTGCCATGGATTTCAAATAGTTGTTACTGTACTCCAGGAAATCACCAAGGTCTAGCAAGCAAATTAGATGATATACATGCAATGAAATCAATGACTGAAAAGACCTAGTAGGTCATCTTGTTCATCCCTTGGTAATGCAGAGTTGTCTCTTACGGTATATTATCTTACACATTAGTCAGTATAGTCTTAACTCTCTTTCCTATCTCTACATAAAAATAGGTTTTATGTCCGTAGCCTAAAGATAAAGAAGGGAAATATATCTATGGAAGAGAGTAAATACAAAAATTAATTTAAAACAAAATAATGTAATTAGCATTGAACAAGCTTTCCAGTCAGCAAGGCAGCAGGAACATTACTGTAAACCTTTCCTACACTCTCCTAATGATCTGAAGGCCAAAAAGAAAGGAAGGAAGGAAGCAGCAGTATACTTACTCAAAACACAGTTCATTCAAGCCAGGTTTTATTCCTCCACCCATTGTCACAAAGCTTGCATCACAAAACGGTTGACCAATTCAGGGTGTAAAGCTGCATACAGCCCACCAAAGGAAACCAGTGTGTACAGGCAGTCCCCGGGTTACATGGATCCGACTTACATCGGATCCCTACTTACAAACGGGGTGAGGCAACCCCGCACTAGCTGCTTTCCCCCAGCAGACCAGGGAGACGCAAAGCTAGCGCCCCCCCCAGCAGACCAGGGAGACGCGGAGCGGCTTGTCTCAGCAGACACCTCAGCTTGAGAATAAAGGACTGAGGGAAGTGAGGTGTGGGAGAATAAAACTGAGCTCTGGAGAAATGTTTGGCTAGAGTTTCCCCTACAATATGTACCACATCTGACTTGCATACAAATTCAACTTAAGAACAAACCTACAGTCCCTAACTTGTACATAACCCGGGGACTGCCTGTACTTGAATGTATTTGTGGCAAATCCTTTTTATAACAAATATAATTCTTTAAAATTAATAATTTAGAAGGCCCTATATCTTATTTTATGCCACTCTCAAAAGATCTTTTTTACTTTCCCAAGATGACTGTAAAATTGTAAATGGAGAGTGGAGAGGTTTTTTGTATTTTTAAAAATCTTCTTGGGAAATAGCCAGCTGCATTCCGTGCTGTAAAAATCTTGATTCTCTTCTCTCATTTATTCCATTAGCCTCCTCTGTCACCCTAGCTGCCTGCCATGGTAGTATTCAAAGACAAATAACTTAAGAAATTTCTCTGTCATCATGATTCAAGAGTCTTC